AACTAGAAATACTGGTCTAGTGCCAGCAAAGATAGAACCAATGTTTTTAACGAAAATAAGAAATAACTATAAAATGTTTGGACATTTCTTATCAGTAACGAAAGCTTCCATCAGAAGATCCTCTTTTAGAACCTGTATGATAATGGCATAATTACAGCAGGTACAAGTATTTCCACCACAGAACCAGGGGCATGCTGTAAAGATTGGAATAGTCCTGGTCTGGGATCTGGGAAATGTTGTAATAGGACTCAGGAACCAGGGGCCTGCTGTAAAGATTGGAATAGTCCTGGTCTGGGATCTGGGACATGTTGTAATAGGACTCAGGAACCAGGGGCATGCTGTAAAGATTGGAATAGTCCTGGTCTGGCATCTGGGACATGTTGTAATAGGATTCAGGAACCAGGGGCATGCTGTAAAGATTGGAATAGTCCTGGTCTGGCATCTGGGACATGTTGTAATAGGATTCAGGAACCAGGGGCATGCTGTAAAGATTGGAGTAGTCCTGGTCTGGGATCTGGGACATGTTGTAATAGGACTCAGGAACCAGGGGGCATGCTGTAAGGATTGGAATAGTCCTGGTCTGGGATCTGGGACATGTTGAAATAGGACTCTGAAACCAGGGGGCATGCTGTAAAGATTGGAATAGTCCTGGTCTCGGATCTGGGACATGTTGTAATAGGACTCAGGAACCAGGGGCATGCTGTAAAGATTGGAATAGTCCTGGTCTGGGATATGGGATATCTTGTAATAGGACTCAGAAACCAGGGGCCTGCTGTAAAGATTGGAATAGTCCTGGTCTGGGATCTGGGACATGTTGTTATAACTCAGGAACCAGGGGCATGCTGTAAAGATTGGAATAGTCCTGGTCTGGGATCTGGGACATGTTGTTATAACTCAGGAACCAGGGGCATGCTGTAAAGATTGGAATAGTCCTGGTTTTGGATCTGGGACATGTTGTAATAGGACTCAGAAAAAAGGAGCATGCTGTAAAATTGGAATAGTCCTGGTCTAGCTGTAGTATGGGACATATTGTAATAGGACTTAGGAACCAGGGCCTGCTGTAAAGATTGGAATAGTCCTGGTCTGTGGTATGGGATATCTTGTAATAGGACTTAGGAACTAGGGACACACTGTTAAGTGTGGAGAGGTTCAACTTCAAGAATCTTAGACATTTTGTGATATAATAATTACAGCAGGAATATAAGTAAATTTTATTTGGACTCAGAAACCAGAGGGCATGCTTTAAAGTTCACAGATGTCCAACTCCAGGTCAAGGAAATGTTGTGATACACTGCAGGTAGAAGTATTTAGGACTCAGAAACCAGGGGCATGTTGTTAAGTTAAGTTATAAAGATACTTCAGATAAGCATTCCATTAATTATGCATATTTGTTTAATTAGCATTATACCTTAATGGAAAAAAATCTTCATCTTAAACATGAAATATTGGGAAAGACTTTTCCATTGATTTATGTCATTAGTTTTAGAAGAAAAAAATACATGAAAAATTTGTAAACATAAAGTTTATCAAGAGGTCTTCTTCACAGATGTAACTTATTTTTAACATGGAATGAAATATTAGGATGATTTCTGGGAGATTGGCCTACACAGTTTAAGCCCCATCATATGTGTACTTCCCATAGAGGCCTTCACCCATCTGTGTAACTAGGCTATATACAAACACAACATAGAAAGAGCAGATGTTCTAGATCTCGAATAGAGAACAGGCTGTTAAGCTGTAATAAACAGCATGCTTAACCATACATGTTGCGCCCTGGTTACACTGAATAATTAATTTGTATTGATACAAGTGACCTTCAGTATCTTTTGATACACTTGCTTTATCTAGAACAAATGTTATGTCCTTAATGGAGGTCAACCATTGTAGCTGCCTACAGACAGAAGCTGACAAGGCAAATATCATTGCTTCTATAGTTAATGATAAAGGGCCATAAAAGGCAATATTATTGTCACAAGCTGGGAACTTGTTGATTTATCATCACAATTTGTTCTGTTACAAACAATCCTGTTGATGCTGGTTGATTGGCCTTGTTGTCCACAGAGTGGTACAGGACTAATCCTTTAGGGATAATTATCATTTCTTTCTATCATTCAATGCATTGGACATAAAAAATACATTAAATACAACTATCCAACAATGGAAATTAATTGTATTTTATATCGTACTTCATTCTTACTTTTATATAAAACATACATCATTTATTTGTATGTAACACATACATCCTATGAGAATTGTTGGTCATCAACTTTTGTAGCCAAAGGAGAGTTCACTCCCCCCACAAGCCATACTCTTCACTCACTGGCAGGTCATACAGAGTCAAATACTGACCCAAAGTAAGATCTCTGGTGATCTATAGATCTCTTTACTGTCACAAGATATCTGGTGATCTAGATCTCTTTACCGACACAAGATCTGTGGTGATCTAGATCTACCAACACAAAATCTGTAATGATCTAGATCTCTTTACTTACACAAGATCTCTGGTGATCTAGATCGCTTTACTGACAAAAGATCTCTGGTGATCTAGATCTCTTTACTTACACAAGATATCTGGTGATCTAGACCTCTTTACCGACACAAGATCTCTGATGATCTAGATATACCGACACAAGATCTGTGATGATCTAGATCTGTTTACTGACACAAGATGTCAGATGATCTAGATCTGTTTACTGACACAAGATCTGTGATGATCTAGATATCTCCATTGAGGTAAGATCTTGAATGATCTAGATGTCTTTACAGACACAAATCATGATCCAGATCTCTCTGTTGACACAACACTTTTGATGCATCATTCCGATGACGTAACAAATGTTAATCCATTCAATGTCACAAGACATATGATAAATCAATAAACAAACTGTGAAGAATTTTGTATTTGCTATAAGGCTTTAAGGCATTTCAAACATTTTTTGCATCTTAAATTGCTCGCTATGGAGTTCAATATAGTCCATTTTACACTTTTCTCTACAGATCAATTAGTGAAAATTGTTAAAATATATACACCAAAGTAAACATGTAAACAAAGGTTATCTGAAAAGACGAGAACAATCAATGTGAAAAACGAGTTCAATATACAATTCAATTGGAATGTCTTCAATGTTTTTGCAATTGATGAGATGGAGGTTTAAGCAGTGCAGTCCATCCATCACTAGGTACGGTAAGTAAGGTTACAATGTATGTGTAGTGTAGTGTAATTACACACAGGCAGCCCCTGATCTCCCGATATCGGTCCTGGCCCGGGGCTAGATCAACATCCAGGGAAACGAAACAGGCACAAACAACGATTCATAACATTTATATTTTCTTATCTTTTAAACAGAAGTTCAAGGAATTTTATCAGAAGCATATGCACAAACAACAATCTGGTAATTTATTCGTAACATTGCTATTTTTTTGTATATTATAAACCTATATTCCAGGTAGTTTATTGTAGCTGTGATAAACCTAGACGGCCTAGCCTTCGAGGAGGGGATAACATCAACTAGACTTGTAGGCACGCTACAGGCTAAATAATATCCCCTCTCCCTCATAAAGAGTCTGAATGGAAACCTGTATAAGGAATTGTAACGACACTATTCTGTCTATGAACAGATGGACAGACAACCAGCTTCCAATATATCCCATAATTTTATTGTGGATCATATGATACCCTGGAGGTCCTTGTATTTAGGAAATATCTTTCATTGAATATAAATTGTGTAACAAGTGGGATTGATTTATTATTCTGCATGGATTCACTGATAAAGTATATTTACAAAGGAAGGTGACATTAATACTGTGTACCTTTTCCAGGTAATTACAGTACATATTTCGCTTGTCCAGAAATAGATGGCATTACTTAGATCTTGTTTCAATTTATCTCTCTTATGATTAACTTATTAGCCTGTATTCTATACTTGGATGCTGAGATATTCTGGGAGAACATTTACAGCTAATTGTTTAAAATAATTTGATTTCGATTTTCCCTAAAATTATTGCAAATGGAAATCTGAAGAATGCCAGGAATGCATGACAAATGAAGAAATGCTTCAATCTAATATATTGCAAAATTCAATTACATTGCTGTACTTAAAACTTATGTGAAAATTCTCAATCTTCTAAAATTGTCACGATAGGCTGCATTTGAAAATACATGTGCACTTTTGAAAATAAAGAAGAAATGTCAATGTTTAAAGATAATCTCAAATCTGCTAATTTCAATTAAGAAAAAAATGTTAAAGTACATTCTTTTAATATCCTAGATGTGATGCTGTATTAGTTACATAATCAATACTCAAAGGAATTTTTATTTCCTTGATGAAAGTAGTCCATTATACTGAGTGGTAAACTCCACACTTAACAATTTAATACCATGTGTATGCATGTTGATCAAGGGGAGGTAACTGTTTTATTACAAGTACTTCACTGCTGTTACTGCTATATAGTGTCAGTAATCTGTATATTGCAAATATATATATGCATTATTGTACAGCTTCTCTTTGCATTTGATATTATTTACACTGTATTAATACAACATTTTTAATGCCATGAAAAAACAAATGTCTTTGAGTAATTGGTTTTTGGTACAGGGTACCAAGCTTTTCAAAATATTACTGAAATTAACTGTATATACCTGAATGGTATTTATAAATAAATATCTTAATATAGCGTGTGCTTATTACTGGGCGTGTGCTTATTACTGGGCGTGTGCTTATTACTGGACGTGGGCTTATTTCTGGGCGTGGGCTTATTACTGGGCATGGGCTTATCTTGGGTAACATACAGTAGGTTCAACAGTTTCATTACTATTCAATCTGGAAAACTTAGGATGGGAAATTGGTTAATATACAAAAACTTTAATGACAAGTTTCAGACATTTTATTTTTTTTAATTTTTCTGAACTATTTCAGGAAAATGAAAGTGTCCTACTTAGCATTTGTTAAATGTATAGTAATAAGACACTAACAGTGCTATGAGAACATTCTGACACTTACCTCCTGTGATTCTAGCTCTACAATGCGAAACTCAAGATTTTCTGCAACCTCGCGTGCTTCGGACACTTCTAACTCCAGTCGGCTATGAGCTTTTTCCAGGTGTATATTCTGTAATGTCAATATCGACATTATGAAATAGTCTGTTATAATGGTTATATATCGACAATGCGAAAATACTTGACCCGACTACCTAGGTTAAAGTATACAGACTTGTTGGTATCATCAAATACTTAAACAATTTTTTTATTCTATTGACTGAGTCAAATGGTCACCATTGACTGACATAGTCCATTTTTATTACGCTCATTCCTCTTTCAACATGATGTTTTACCCAGAAGATAAAACCCCTTACTTCCTTCACAGTCTAGTACTTGCCCTTTGCTCCAAGCTCTTGTGTTTGGTCCACAGTACTTTATTCTACAGTCTAGTACTTACCCTTTGCTCCAAGCTCTTGTGTTTGGTCCACAGTAATTTATTCTACAGTCTAGCACTTACCCTTTGCTCCAAGCTCTTGTGTTTGGGCAGCAGTACTTTATTCTAGTCTAGTACTCACCCTTTGCTCTAAGCTCTTGTGTTTTGTCCACAGTACTTTATTCTACAGTCTAGTACTTACCCTTTGCTTCAAGCTCTTGTGTTTGGTCCACAGTACTTTATTATACAGTCTAGTACTTACCCTTTGCTCCAAGCTCTTGCGTTTTGTCCCCAGCACTTTATTCTACAGTCTAGTACTCACCCTTTGCACCAAGCTCTTGTGTTTGGTCCACAGTACTTTATTATACAGTCTAGTACTTACCCTTTGCTCCAAGCTCTTGTGTTTGGGCAGCAGTCCTTTATTCTAGTCTAGTACTCACCCTTTGCTCTAAGCTCTTGTGTTTTGTCCACAGTACTTTATTCTACAGTCTAGTACTCACCCTTTGCACCAAGCTCTTGTGTTTGGTCCACAGTACTTTATTCTACAGTCTAGTACTCCCCCTTTGCTCCAAGCTCTTGTGTTTGGTCCACAGTACTTTATTATACAGTCTGGTACTTACCCTTTGCTCCAAGCTCTTGTGTTTTGTCCACAGTACTTTATTCTACAGTCTAGTAATCACCCTTTGCTCCAAGCTCATGTGTTTGGTCCACAGTACTTTATTCTACAGTCTAGCACTTACCCTTTGCTCCAAGCTCTTGTGTTTTGTCCACAGTACTTTATTCTACAGTCTAGTAATCACCCTTTGCTCCAAGCTCTTGTGTTTGGTCCACAGTACTTTATTATACAGTCTGGTACTAACCCTTTGCTCCAAGCTCTTGTGTTTTGTCCACAGTACTTTATTCTACAGTCTAGTACTCACCCTTTGCTCCAAGCTCTTGTGTTTGGTCAGCAGTTCTTTATTCTCATTCCTGTTACTGTGAATCTCCTGTAAAGTCATATATCAATTTGTTTCTTTATCAGGACATGAAATGTTTACCCAAAATTTACAAGCAGAATATATTACAAACTATGCGGACAAACAGTACAGTGGAAATTCTTGTCGCATGACACTAATAGCAGGAGTTACTCTCAGGCAAAAAATATCTGAATATTTAGAAATGGTTGGAGTTTTTTTTTTTTTTTACAAAACACACATTATACCTATGATATTTTTATCAATATTTTTTTTTGTAAAATGTCAGAAAGTTCTTAATTTAATTTATATTTGTACCAATAAATGTGTTTACATACAAATAAGGGACCGGTGTCTATCTCCTATTTAGGCACTTAATTTGACATGAGTGTTTGTTATGATACTATTCCTTTTTGCATTGCAAATATTAAAATGTACACAAAATTCATTTTCCAACTCCAACATTTTTGAATTGTACAAGATCTTAAGACAAAGACATGCCACTAAAACACTGTTTTACCAGGGTGTAATCAGAGATTCTCTATTAATACCTTATCTACCAGCATAATTCTTCAAACAACTGGTACAGGAGTAATTAAAACACAATGTTTTTATGATTTTATATCAGTGATGATCAACATGCTATGAGCAGCTATAGGCACACAGTCATTGACATTTTACCTGGAAACACCAGGATGATTTTGTTTGAATTAGTTCAGTTTAAACCAAATATTAATTTATTATGCTTTGCTAAAGCAACAACTTTGCTATATCGATTTTAGATTTGATTCATACAGTTTCATGCATGAAGGAAAGCTGATCATGCATATAGATAAGTATCAGTGTAAGTAACATAATGTATATTTTGTACAATATAATATATAGATGTAGATAACATTTAAATACTGAGGGAAAGTAGATAACTTATGTAAATATCTACAGAGGGGGATACATATATATACATAATCACAACATTGAATACAGGGAGATGATATGTAATGAGGGGAGATTACCCACCTGTAAGAAGGATAGATAACTCATGTGAATGATGAATAAAACTCGCGTGTAATGAGGCGAGGTAGTTTATGTGATATCAGGAGCAAACTTACATGTACAAGGGGAGACAGCTCACCTGTAATAAGGGGCGGTAACTTAAATGTAATATAGGGTTACCATGGTTACTGTGTTAGTACCTGGATGTTGGTCCACATGCAGCAGGTGAGACATGCAAGTATATACCTCATCCTGTTGTCGCAGTAAGGCCTGTAACTCTTCAATCTTACACTGGGCCGCGAACAGATCAGACTGCAGCTGGGTCCGTAACTGTCAAGTAGATACAAGTTCTGTCTCAATCACTCCTGTCAAACAGTGACCTAAACAGTATTACTGACACCATATAATACAGGTCAGAGGGGTGTCAATTTAGTATGATACTGACTTACAACCAATACTATAGGTCCTGTAAGTTCTGTCTCAATCACTCCTGTCAAACAGTGATCTAAACGGTATTACTGACACCATATAATACAGGTCAGAGGGGTGTCAATTTAGTATGATACAGACTTATAACCAATACTATAGGTCCTGTAAGTTCTGTCTCAATCACTCCTGTCAAACAGTGATCTAAACGGTATTACTGACACCATATAATACAGGGGTGTCAATTTAGTTTGATACAGACTTATAACCAATACTATAGGTCCTGTAAGGTATTCCTTGTATGTAAATTAAACACATTTTAGTTGTAAAAACCTTTGTTTAAATTTGTTCTTAAAATTTAAATGGTGATGGTAAAGCTGTTCTTTACAGATGTCAAACTAATGACCTAAATAGCTCAAACGGACCTTGTTCTCCCTTTGTGGATCAAGATGGCTGCCGGTCTGTGATTGGAGAAGGGAGTGCAACCTCTGTAGTTCCAAGTGTTCCTTCATCAGCTGTTGATACTGACCCTCGATCTCTTCCCGCGACAACTGTAAGGTCAAGGTCATACAACTGTAACCAATCTTTGTCAAGGTCATACAACTGTAACCAATCTTTGTCAAGGTCATACAACTTTAATCATTGTCACCAGTGCAATTTTCAACGACTATTAACTCATTCACCCCTTCATATCTAAACTGGACTTGCCCAGTTTTTGGTTTGGTAAGGTACAAATGCGACTTTAAGGGTGAATAGTTAATCTACACATTGTCATTCACTACACATTTTCCTATTTTTAAATACACAACAGTTTTGTGGGTGGTAAGAGATAGGATTTGAATAAAACATTGTACGAAAATCTGATCTAGAAATGCCTCCATGACAGCCAGATTGATTAGTTATTTTATTGCCATGACAACGACAGGCTCTCCAATTAAAACCATATGTAGTCACTGGGATGTGTTCTAGGGAAAATACTACAGAACATATATCCCACACACTAAATCAATCTTGTAGCCCCGCCCCTGTTCCTTACATAGACAAAGCTATACTTGCCAACTTTTGAAACTTTCCGTGGGGAGATTGCACGTAGCATGTGTGTTTGTACACCCTAGGGGAGATTGCACGTAATGTGTGTGTTTGTACACCCTAGGGGACAATTACACTGTTAAACAGCATCTTTTGAGCTGATCTTTCAGATGAAATCATCAGATCTTTAAAATAAAAATAGTTTAGCAAATTCACTGGTTAAAAATGTTCTATTTCAGGGTCCAAAATCGGTCGTCTCCCTCAAAACTAGGGATAGTTGGCAAGTATGAGACTCCTCCTGAGAATGACAATAAGACACAGAACAGGATATTCACAGTTGCAATGTTTTCATTTCACCACATGTTTTCATCAACAGTAAAGTGGCTGTACATGCATGTTATGTTCACAGCTGAATGTGTTTGTAGACTACCCGGGCATGTTGTAGGGATGGTCCGATCCTCCTACCGCTGGTAATTACCCAGCATGCAGTTCTGCGAATGACTTGAGTGATGTGAAGTAGCTGGTGATGATGTGATGGTGACACTTACATAAATACACTGACATTCCCTTTCCCTTTCCCTGCTCACCTGCTTTGTATCGTCTATATTTTTTATTTATTTCTTTTTTAAATTATAATGATCATGAAATTCGGTGATGCAATTTGAGATGATTTTTTTTCCAGTACAAACCTCATCACACAAATCCTCGTCCGACAGCGTGCCATGGGACATAGAGGAATACGACGTCTCCGAGTCGACAGAGGCAACAGACGTATCGTCCTCGTCATACCCAAAGAATGTCTCCTTGACACCGGGACTCTGTAACGTAAACAAGTGCTACTACTAGCTAGACAGGCTAAGTGAAGCTGGTGCAAAACACATTGTTATCATACCAAGTGTAAAAGGAGCAGAAAAATGCAGTTCGTCTGATTCAAACTGGAGACCTTAGCTTTCAAGTCAAACAAACCCTGTTTAAATTGAGCTAACCCAACAACCTAATGTTATTCACTACTGCGAGGTGCTCAGTTCAGTAACAGATGTATCACAGGGGGAGATCCTGTTAGGGGGGTAGTGAGGGGAGGGGTAGCGAGGAGAGGGATAGCGAGGAGAGGGGTAGTGAGGAGAGGGGTAGCGAGAGGGATAGTGAGGAGAGGGGTAGCGAGGAGAAGGGTAGCAAGGAGAGGGATAGCAAGGAGAGGGATAGTGAGGAGAGGGATAGCGAGGAGAGGGATAGGAGTAGGAGAGGGATAGTGAGGAGAGGGGTAGTGAGGAGAGGGATAGTGGGAGGCAGGGAAGTGGGGATAGAGGTAGTGGGGGAAGGGTAGTGAGGGGAGGGGTAGTTAGAGGAAGGGGAGGGGGGGGGGGGGTAGGGGGGGGGGGGGTAGTTAGAGGAAGGGGAGTGAGGGGAGGGGTAGTTAGAGGAAGGGTAGTGAGGGGAGGGGTAGTTAGAGGAAGGGGAGTGAGGGGAGGGGTAGTTAGAGGAAGGGTAGTGAGGGGAGGGGTAGTGGAGGAAGGGAAGTGGGGATAGAGGTAGTGGGGGAAGGGTAGTGAGGAGAGGGGTAGTGAGGAGAGGGTATTGGGGGAGGAATAATGGGAGGAGGGGAAGTGGTGGTAAGGGTAGTGAGAGGATAAGGTAGTGAGGGGAAGGGTAGTCGGGGGAGGGGAAGTGGGGGAGGGTACGTGGAGATGGGTAGTGGGGGAAGGGTGCAAGTCCTGAAGTTAGGGCCTATTTTCTGTGAAATCCTGAATCTGCCATTATACCTTAGCACCGGTCAACATCTGATCAGCAGTGAACATGCAGCAGTGTCCTACCCTTCTTTTGTTTACACACAGCCGAACATGTATATCAAGGTCACAGGTGGTGTCAAGGTCACAGGTGAGGTCAAGGTCACAGGTGATGCTAATGTCACATACCATTTGCATTGGTGAATAAAGCTGACTTTCGCAATTTAAAAATGGTTTTCTATTGGGATATTGGCACAAGAACATTTGACAATGTATGTTAGTTTTATTGAATACCTTTCATTCCTTACTCTATACTCCCAGAATGAAGACACTGATAGTGTACCTACCATTTGTAAGGACTCTTTAATCTTGTCTCATAAAAGTTCCTTAAACAAGAGGCCTAGAGGGCCTGTATCGCTCACCTGGATATCTAAGCAATCATGGCAAAACATTCTCCAAATGAGATCCAAGGGAATATGCCAGACCCCAAGGCCAATCATTGTAGCATATCTGAATTAGAATTTTCATGCCAAGCAATTTTATGTATGGTTATGGGGTGGGGATCTCAACTGTTTCCAAGCTGTGACTAAGAAACTAGGTCCCTGGGGTTGTGGCCAGACCCCATGAACAATTCTAATATCATGACTGCATTTGTCTCTTTTTGCCCAGCATTTGTATATATAGTTTTGGGGTTGGGATCTCAACCGTTTCAAAGATATGACCCAGGGGTTAAGCCTGCAAGGGTGGGGCAGACCCTAGGGTTGATTCTAATATCATGACTGCATTCGTCTCTTTATGCCCAACAATTGTATATATATAGTTTTGGGTAGGGGATCTTAACCATTTCGAAGTTATGACCAAGGAGTAAAGTCTCCAAGGGTGGGGCAGTCCCCAAGGCCATCATGGAAGCATATGTGCATTCATCTTTTTATACCCAGCAATTGTATATATGGTTATAGGGTGGGGCTCTCAACTGTTTCCAAGCTGTGACTACAAATTAGGTCCCTAGGGGTTCGGTCAGACCCAAGGGTCTATTCTAATAACAGGACTGCATTCATCTCTTTATGCCCAGCATTTGTATATATAGTTTTAGGGTGGGGATTTCAACCGTTTTAAAGTTATGGCCAAGTTATGACTCCAAGGGTGGGGCCAGACCCTAGGGCCATCCTGGAAGCAACAGTGCATTCTTTTCTTTATACTCTGCAATTGTATATATGATTATATGGTGGGGATCTCAACCATTTCCAAGGAATACACTTTTTTTGGCCCCACCCCTTAGCACGGGGGTTAGCCCCACCATTTGTACAATTTTGAATCCCTGCCTCCCATGAATGCTTCCGACCAAATATGATTGATATCCATGGCAAAGTTCTACAGAAGAAGTCGTTTATAGCAATATAGCCAAATTGCCCCCTTAAGGCCCCGCCCTCAGCCACCTGGGGGGTCAGCCCCACCATTTGTACAATTTTAAATTCCCACCAACTCTAGGGATGCTTCTGACCAAATATGGTTGATATCAATCTCTTAGTTCCAGAGAAAAAGTCACTTAAAGCAACATAGCCAAATAACCCTTTTGGCCCCACCCCTCAGCCCCCTGGGAGGTCAGCCACACCATTTCACAATTTTGAATCCCTGCCTCCCATGAATGCTTTTGATTATATAGGATTGATATCCAGTGCATAGTTCTACAGAAGAAGTCGTTTGTAGCAATACAGCAAAATTACCCCTTTTGGCCCTGCCCCTCAGCCCCCTGGGGGGTCAGCCCAACCATTTGTACAATTTTGAATCTCCACTACCGAGGAATGCTTCCAGTCAAATATGGTTATATCCATCTCTTAGTTCCAGAGAAGAAGTCGCTTGAAGCAATATAGCCAAAAAGCCCCTTTTTTGCTCCGCCCAACCATTTGTACAATTTTGAATCCCCACCATCTAGGGATGCCTCTAGTCAAATTTAGTTAAATTCCAATCAGTGGTTAAGAAGGAGAAGTCAGTTAAAGAAATTGTTGACGGACGGATGCCACGGTATGGGATAAGCTCACCTTAGTCCTTCAGACCCGGTGAGCTGTTAGAGATCATCACTTCACTTGATATCAGAATCCTAATTAACAAGACTCTGTACCATCGTGTCATCCTACGTACCTTGTCCACAGCTTGAGTCCTCATCCACCGTTTCCTTCTCTTCCTGTGTTGTATCAGCTCTATACGTCGGTCCTTTTCCTGAAACACCAGAAGCTCAGGTTAACCCTTCAACCACTATAGACCATAATGGACCCCTCCATATCAATACATGGTAAAGTCTACTAATGTTACACAGGGGAGAAAGGGTTATCAGTACTCAAAATGTTCAGTTCTCTAAACGTATGATATTCAAACTACAAATTACTAAAAATATGCAGTACTCAAGTACTGTTATGAAAATGTAAAAATACTTTGCTTGGGGTTTAACTCATTCACCCCTGAAATTTCATAATGGACCATACCAACCGTTGAATTGGAAGAGTTCAAATGTGTCTTCAGGGGTATAAGAGTAAGGTTAATCTTTGTAACGTCCATGGTCATATGAAAGCGGAACTCAACTTACACTTCAGTCCTCAAAATGTGTGACAAATTACTCCACATCACTCAAAACAAGACAGTATTTCAAGCTATACTTCTCCACCTCTGGACAAACTTTGATGTCTCATATATGAATAAAGTGCCGCAACTCTGTATAAAGTGTGGCATGAAACCAAATGTCATTACAAGACAACTTTCCCTGTGTTAAGAGTTACCCGCATTATAACAAAACTTAGTAATTGTAGGTGACAGAGTCTATAAGATATGTCCCATAAAAGTGATACACTGGCTGACTGGGGAACGCGTAGTTATAGTCCACTCCTGTAGTACCAGTGGGGACAAATATACAGTACTCTCAATGTTCTGTACAAATATTTAGCAATACTCACTATGCAGGTCTGCCTGAGAGCAGTGACTGTCTTTGTGAGTTCTGTGATCTGTATTTTACATCGATCCAACTCTTGTGCTTTGATTTCAGCTGTCCCTCTCTCCAATTTCTCGTGACTTAGTTGCAGGGACAGGGACTTCACTCGCTTTTTGGAATTTTCACATTGTTCCTTCTGAAAGTCGACAGGCATAAATATGTAAGAAGTGGTACCCTACACGAAACCTCGATAAACTTACCTTATGACCCAAATCTAAACAAATTTAATTTAATTTTCGTAAAATAAACATCCGATATCTTTGTAAACAAAACATCATCAGCAGTAAATTTTCATTGCTATCTGATGAACTGTTTAACTAGTAACTGTCTGCAAAGTAGAATTAAGTCACAGCATTTTTTTTTATTTTTGTTATAACTTCATCATAAAAGCAAAAAACCTCAATCATACATTGTGACTAAAGTTACTTTGTCCAGGTGCCTACGGAAGGGGTCAGAATTGGAATCTGAGACTACAGAGCACCAGTCCTGTGCTCTACCGACCAAGATAAAGGTGCTCTACCGACGAAGTTAAAGGTGCTCTACCGACCAAGTTAAAGGTGCTCTACCAACCAAGATAAAGGTGCTCTACCGACGTAGTTAAAGGTGCTCTACCGACCAAGTAAAAGGAGCTCTACTGACCAAGTTAAAGGAGCTCTACCAACCAAGTTAAAGGTGCTCTACCGATCAAGATAAAGGTGCTCTACTGACCAAGTTAAAGGTGCTCTACCAACCAAGTTAAAGGTGCTCTGCCGATCAAGATAAAGGTGCTCTACTGACCAAGTTTAAGGTGCTCTACTGACCAAGTTAAAGGTGCTCTACCGACCAAGTTAAAGGTGCTCTACCGACCAAGTAAAAGGTGCTCTAACAACCACGTTAAGGGTGCTCTAACAACCAAGTTAAAGGTGCTCTACCAACCAAGATAAAGGTGCTCTACCAACCAAGATAAAGGTGCTCTACCGACCAAGTTAAAGGTGCTCTACCGACCAAGTAAAAGGTGCTCTAACAACCAAGTTAAGGGTGCTCTAACAACCAAGTTAAAGGTGCTCTACCAACCAAGATAAAGGTGCTCTACCAACCAAGATAAAGGTGCTCTACCGACGAAGTTAAAGGTGCTCTACCGACCAAGTTAAAGGTGCTCTAACAACCAAGTTAAAGGTGCTCTACCGACCAAGTAAAAGGTGCTCTACTGACCAAGTTAAGGGTGCTCTAACAACCAAGTTAAAGGTGCTCTACTGATCAAGATAAAGGTGCTCTACTGACCAAGTTAAAGGTGCTCTACCGACCAAGTTAAAGGTGCTCTACC